AGTTAAAGTCTTCTAGTTGTTAATGATGATGATGATGATGATGATACATAATCAAACAATTTGATTGCTCAGAACTTTTATTATAACTGTTGCTTTTACAGTGCTCTTGAGGCAAGTTAGCAAGGATATGAAAGTAAGCTTAAATTCACCTACCTTTGTCTGTTAAGCTACATGTTTTTACTACTAAGCTAGATAGATATACCTGCTACAAAAGGTTTCATATTACTGCTGATAAAAGATCACCGAGAACTAATGTTATCATATATGTATAGTGATTGCCATTTACGTAACCCTGCAATTTCTGAAAATTATTTTCATATGTGATAACTGATAAATAAGTATTATTACGTATTACGGGTATTAATTAATATATATTGTTTGCAGTTTATTGTGTCACAGGTATTTGTGATTTATCTATTGTAGGTGCTTCGACTTTTTATATGTATCGAAAGCCTAAGACGGTTCAAGTTTATTACGTTGGACGGTATCCAGCGATTAGGTATTTGGGCTGTCGCGGAGCAGGCAAACAGCCTCAGGCATATTTATAATGGAACCAGACAGGTAAGAGTGGTGGCTTGGTTTGCGACGTAACGCCCTCTAGCGGCTCGCTACTGTAACTACAAGTATACAGTAGCCGACTTTACTCGCTTGATTTCCAACTCGTTTTTTAACCGGTGTACTATTTACTGCGAGCTACTAAATACCATATTTTTTCTACTTTTACTAAATGACTATAATTGTCAGTGATTACAAAGCGAATAATAATAGACCGACGTAGTCATAAAAGCTCGCTAAAAATGTCTCTTTAGAGAACAATTTAGCTATTTTTAAATTATGCAAAATGCAGAGGTAAAAACCATTTTTATTCATTTAAATAATCTGAAACATGTTTTGTGTAATAATTTGGAGAAGTAGGTTACCAACAAGAGCAAGAAATTTCGTTTGGAAAAGAGAAATGAACTCGTTATTTCTAGTTCATTCTGTTGTACATAGAGTTTATTTCTTTAAATAATGCCGAGGTAGTAAGAGGTTCTGGAGAGAATAAAGAGCGCCTTACTTTACAGTCACAAGTGTAGCCTGAATAGAGCGTTAGGTGTGAAACTAGTGAGATAGGCCACCAGCCGACTGCGCCGGAGATGCATTCAAGAGATAAAAAATAATTGAAGTCGGACTTGGTCCGGTGTGTGGCCCCAGGCGGCTAGCCAGCCACACGACATGGCAAATGACAATTTTCATTGCAATTTGTTACTTGCAAACATCCTGAGCACCAACTATTTTCACTGTCAACGTAAATGCTACATGGATAATGTATTTAAAAAGGTTGGTGTTATTTATATAGGGGGTAATTAATGTTTCTCCGTATGTAATTCGATTGTCATTTATTTAAGAAAATGAATGTAAAAATATCGATGGGTAGTCAGTGAAGAGTGCCGTGGGAGCGATGGCAGTAGGTCGGCTCTCGGCTCGTTGGCTGCTCCCACGCTGACGGCGTCTCACGTCTCCTACACTTTTACATTTCCAACATCATCGCAATGGGTACCTACGGCTTAGACCTTAAAGCAACATTCCCTCCGTGTTTAGGAAGATGGTTCATCACATCTAAGCAATCATTTTCGCTAATGCTTTGTAAACTGCATGGTTTGTGAATTTATCAGTTTTGTCTTGATACATTATTTTATGGGAAATATGTCGGATTTTTCAATAGCATTAAACATTTTGTAAAAAGTATCTAGTAAAGAAGTTATTACAGTAAAGAGGCCACGTTCACATTTTAACTAAACTATGACAAGATAGTTATGAAGACGATGATAAGGTCGAACTTCGTTTGATCGTTTGTAACCGTTTAGAATCAATGAAATTACATAATCACAATAATCGTTGACGATACCTAGAAGTAGGGTTGTGACTTCGAATTCAGCTTCGATTTTTGCTGAACTTCCACCTTCACTCACAGGGAATGTGCTATGGTATGGTATAATATATTTTTTATTACGAACTCTAATTTCGTATTGCGTCCGCCTGAGGGGTCTCGTTGCCGATTGCCGGGGGCTTAAAGATGTGGTCTAAATAGCGAGGCAGGCGCCCAGAGCCCCACGTACCCGCGATCTCCTCGGGCATCCTATCATTATACGAAGAATTAAAATTCTATGTACTAAACTACAAGATAATTGGATCCATGTATTTGTATCAAGTTTCAGATGCGAGTTACGATATGGAAAATTACTAGTAGTAGTCCAATAATTTCGGGAATTTAATCAGTCCATACTGTTTGTGTTAAATTTTCAATGCACATATTGACAATCGCAAAATATGTGAATCTAGTTCATTGGTTTTTGGCATGGAATAATATCTGAATATTGTGTCTGATCATTTCATGGAAGCTGACTTTGTGTAAACTAATATTTATTATAATATGTCAGTACCTGCACAGACTCTAACATGTAGGTAAGTATTTATTAAAATATTGATATAAATTGTTTACTCGATGATACGTACAGATATATATTACCTACATCAAAATGACTATCAAGTCATAATATTTACTTAAATAAGGACATTATTGGATCCATCCTTTTTCTTATTTTGATTCATAATAGTTTCTTCGCGATTGGCACAGTCGCTGAGTGAACGTGTACGAGTTCATTGACACGTTGACCAAAAACTACTAAAAAAGTAAAAAGTACCTCGATTCCTAGTTCTCTTCCTTCTCTTCCTTCTTTTCCTTCCTTCCTCTGAGAGCAGGGTTTCAGTTGTCACACAAACATCTGCGATAGTTGTTATTCTCCAAACATTTCAATACCAAATTTGCAATGATTTCTCAACCAAGAACAACGGTCCTTGGTAAGCTATTGTGGAGGGCAAATGGTGTGTAGCGACTATACGTAGAAAACTGACACTCATCGATAATTATTATTTAAGAATTAGTACGCAGTATCGACTTCACAATTGGTTGGGAAAAGGCAAAAAACATAAAGTTGCATAACAATTCCCCTTCTGTTCCTTCCTGCATCATAATAAAGTTCTTTAAACCCCTAACTGAAAGCAATTTTGTAATAAAGCAAATTCCTTTTCTAGACGTGTTTCATCCTATAAAAACAAATAAACTTACTCTAGCTCAGCTCAGACGGTGGTTGTTGATTCTTTTACAATTGTCTAGCGATAATCCAAGCTTTTAGTGGACAGTTTCCTATCATTTGTGTCTAGAAAATGCTGCAAATTTTATTGTGGCTGTTAGCACCTTACATTTTACTTACTTATTTTTATTTTCTTCTTGTTATGAAACATACCTATGGATGGACGAGACGATGGACATATGGATTCTGTTTCGAACTACCAGTGAATAATGGTATTTTTGGACGAAATAAAAAGAAACTCACTGACACATTGCTGTTGTCATGCTCGGAGACAAAATTCAATCGTATATTTTATTTATCCCTACTATTTATTTTGGTGGGCGTGGGCATAAATATTGTCTAATCGTTCACTTTCACACCAGTCTCCTGCAACCAGTCTCCCAATGTGGTAGTCATAATTAAAGATGGTCTGTTGAAGTTGTCCTTGAGCTTTTATTGATTTTACGGGAAATCTTTACTTATCTTTTATTAAGTTTATAAAATGTTATCCACTTTACTAACAATAGCTAGGCGATGTACCTCTACCTACATTATCTGTTGGGTGCGCTTTCTGTAAGATAATTAGCAAGATATGTATTTACTAAGCTATATTATGTAGCTATTGAAATTTTTTTTTTTTTTTTTTTTTTTTAAGGGGGGAAAATCATCGAATGACTGCCCCCGCCTGGGTGAGGCGGGAGGGAGTGTCAGACTCTTACTGACTAAAAACCACCCCGTTCCTTCTCCTGCACGTCGAGCCGGAGCCCCGGTTACCCGTTAGGTTCTCCGCGAC